GCTCGGCTTCCGTGGACGATTTAGTGACGGATTTCTGCCGTGTTGCTTTCCAGTCAATAGGCCCGCCGAATAGTTTGAAAACGTATCCCTCTGAGGAATGTCTTGTTTCAGGATCATCGGCAAATGATGCATCGCTTGCTCGTACAATCGCTGGTGTTTCCGGGCCCGTACCCGTGCCGTTTGTGCTACTGTATTCAATTGCTAGGTATCTCGTTTGGAATAGATAGGCAATTAACTGATCTGCCGCCTGTTCGTGTTCCGGGGCTGGGTTTGTGAGGAATTTTGCTAGTTGAGAAACTGCAAATGAAACGTCAGGCCGTGTCATCACGGACGGATGTCCTACGGATCCGATTTTCCGTTGGTATCGGTGTATTTCTCCAGTTGTTGCTTGTTCTCTATTCGGGACTAGTCTTGTAGTAGCTAGTGGCGTGTATACGTTTCTATACGTATCTAGATTATGCTGGGTTGCGATTTTGGAAATTTGGGAGTCCTGGCACAGCCATAGCTTTCGATTCTCTCGGTCCCGTATAATACGGATTCCTAGGAACCATTCTAAATCATGGAATTCCTTCATCTCGTACGTAGCCAGTAGATAGGCCCGTAGTTCCTGGAGTTTCTGGCTGTTCTCTTTCCGTGCGCATGCCACGATGTCATCAACGTAGAAGAACACTACTAGTTCGTCTGATGCCCAGAGGCAGTCTTCGTCAGGAACCTGATGCAGCCCGAATTTCGTGAGGGTCGTTGTGAGATGGTTGAACCAGAGAACTGGTGAACGCCGTAGGCCATAGAGTGCCCGTAGCAGTAGGAGACATTGCCCTGGCCGTACAAATCCTTCCGGGCAATCTACGTATACAATTTCATCTAGGTGGCTATTTGTAAATGCTGAGGAAGCATCTGCTTGCCAGGTATCTAGATCGAATGCCGCAACTAGGGCCATTACGCATCGGAATGCACGTGCTGCCAGTGTTGCCGCGTACGTATCCTTTTCGCTCGCAGCTTGTAGATCGCCCCTAACAACTAGGCGTGCTTTGAACGTATTGAGGAATCCGTTATTGTCGAATTTGTACGAAAAAACCCACATTAGTGGAATTGGACGATTTGAGATTGGAACTGTATTTCTATCCGTATATTCGAACGTATTGCGATTCACTAGGGTTGTATATTCGGCCGCGGCTGCTAGCTCGAATTCCTTTCCGTATTTGTGGCTTCCTAGATCCTTCCAAAATCGTGGCGGAGGTGGAATCTCATCACGGTGTAGCTGGCTCTGTTGCTTGCTAGTGGCATGGAATGCGGCGTGAAAGAACCCGTGTGGTTCTTGTAGTAATGCGTGCATTGCATTCATCGCCGCGTTGTTGTTCCTGCCCCGTACGCGATTTGGATTTGCTGATGCGTAGGACAGTTGATTGATGTTGTAGTTTACTGCTGTTTGTTCCCTACGAGAACGGGGTGCCGTGGCCGTATCTGGGGCTAGATCTAGGGCCGTGTTTAGGGCAGAATCCGGGGCAGAATCCGTGGTAGAATCCGTGGTAGGATCCGGGGTAATATACGGATCAACCGTAGTTTCTCGTGTAGTTGATTCCCGTGTAGGTTCTCCATCTGAACCTGGATCTGACGTACTAGGCGTGCTCGTCGTGCTGGACGTACGGGGCCGTACGTTGATAATTTCGAGGAGAGGGTCGGATTCTTCCGTATTGGTTTCTTCCTCATCGATTTCTACTAGCTCACTGGCTAGTGGCTAGTGACTGGGGCTTGGGCTGTACTATAATACACTCCAGGATTTCTTCCACTGGCTGGCGTAGCCTAGCAGATAGATCTAGTGTTCGTGGCTCGTAGAATACCTTCTCGTTAAATGTAACATCTGTTGTTCGTACAACTTTTTGTTCACTTGGAATCCAGATGCGATAGATATTCGTAGCTTCATAGCCTACAAGGTATCCTACGTGCGCACGGGGCTGCATTTTTTCCAATTTTGGAATATTAGGAATCAATGGATAGGCCCTGCATCCGTACGCGCGTAGATGCGAGATGTTCGGTTTTGCTGGCCTAGGAAACCCCAGGCACCGTTGTAGTTCTTCGAACGGTGATGCCCAGTTGAACTGTTTGTTAGGGGTCCTGTTCATCGCGTAGGCAGCGAATTTGAACGTTTCTGGCCATAGTGATTCCGGCAGTTTAGACTGTATACAGGCGGTCCTGGCCTTTGTTACAATCCGGTATCCTGATTGTTCTGCTGCGCCGTTTGGTGCTGCATTATGCGGTGGTGACGATTCCACGGTGATTCCCTCATCTAATAGGAATTGGGCCAAGGGCCTAGTACTGTCAATTGTAGAAAGTGACGATTCATTGTCTGTTTTGATGAACTGGATGCGGCATCCAGGATAACGGCATTTAACCCAGTTCACAAATCGAATAACTAGCCGGGGAAATTCGTCCTTAGTAGTACAGTTATCTACGTAGGTCATCCGGGTTCGATCGCATAGGAAATGCGCACTGTACCGGTTCTCGTTGTATGCTACTGTCATATGCACGAAATCGATGTGAATTCGTTCAAACGGACGTTCCGCGCGTGTGACAGGTCGCCGTGATGTTACTTTTGTAGCTTTTGATACTGCGCAAGCTTCGCATTCCACAGTTGTTGGACCTCGAAGAATTGCTCCGTCCGTTGATGTTCCTAGGGCCTCCATAGCTTCTGGACCTGGATGCCCTAGCCGTAGGTGCCAGGTGATTCCGTCTGTTGTACTATCTGATTGCTTGGCCGATCGACGATTGATGCGATTTGGAGCCGTGCTGATGGCCGTTTCCGGGGCCGTAGTGATGGCCGTTTCCGGGGCCGTAGTGATGCCCGTTTCCGGGGCCGTAGTGATGCCCGTAGGAAGGGCCGTTTCCAGGGCCGTAGTGATGCCCGTAGTTGGAAATGCGGCGTGCTGGGCTGGTGGCACGTATTCAAGAACCCATTGGTCGTGAATCATTATGGCGTGCGCCAGGAAGATGATGTTGTTTCCGTTTTTCTTGTATAACTTGTCGTGTTCGCTGGACCAGTAGATTCCTCGATTTTTCAGCATTTTGACGCTTACAAGAGACGTCTGCATTGCCGGGCAGTAGGCAGCCTCAATTAGGGTTAGTTCAGCATTGTTTGTACAATGAACAAGTGCAGATCCGTATCCTAGAATTGGCTGGCGCGTTCCTCCTGCGAATAGGAAGTCTCCTTTTGGTGGCGGACGAATTGGTGAGATGAATCGTGATGCATCGTTTATCACGTGCACGGTAGTGCCCGAATCGAGTACAACGCTATCACGTAGATGATATTCCTGTGAAACGTTGTAGGATCCTTTTGTGATAGCACCTGAGAATCTCTGGCCCGTAGCCGTAGTAGTGGCGGAATCCGTGGCTGGATCCGTAGCTGGAAACGTAGCTGGAAACGTAGCTGGCTGTCCGCCAGGGCTACTGCCCTTCTTGATGGCGTTTTGTACGGTTGTTCGTAGCCGTTCGTTTGTGGCTAGTTTCTGTTGGATTTCTCGTTCCATTTCTGGCACCAGCTTGAAATACGAGGGCTTGATTGTTGGGTTTAGATAGTAGCATCTACTATAGAAATGTCGTTTCCTGCATACGCACATCGGCACCTCGCGATCACGGATTGTTGTAGATGTTGATGATGCATCTTGTTGAGATTTTCCTTGGAACGTTGTGTTGAATGCTGCTAATGCCGTGAATGGGGCCTTTCCTCGTTGGATTGCGTTCTCGTCACGATCGTTGCGCAGGGCTCCGTGTAGTTGTTCAACCGTGGGCAGTGGTTTATTCTTAGCCAACGCATTCTGGACCTTCTGTTTCCAGTAGGTTGTGAATTCGGGCTGCAACGTAGATACTACGTGTAGGAAGTTGTGCACTGCTCGGTCTCCAGAGACATCAGGTAGTTTCTCTTCCTTGGCAGCGTTGTAAGCTAGTAAGAAACTAGCCATCCAAACGTCGATGTTCTGATTCCTTGGTGGTGATAGTAGCCTGTTGTACTGCGCAGCGACTCGTAGTTTCCGATTTTGATCTGATGGGGCAATAGCGTTCCTAAGGATTTGCAGCCATTCGCATACGGGTTTTCCGGTGTAGTAGTATTGTAGTGCAACGACTACGGATTCGTTGATTTTTGTCTGGATCGCGTAGAGGGCAGTGGCGTGCTTGTTGTGCGCTTTTTCATTGATAGTGTATTGTTTTGTCAATCGTTCGTACGTCTTGTATTCGTCGTCGTTGAGGATGGTGATGCTGGCATCTGCTGGCGCATTTTCTTTCACCATTTGGATTGTTGGCTCGGTAGGCGCTTTCTTTGTAGGCCTGTTTTCGGAATCCGGATCGATATATTCCCAGATTTGATGGCATTCCGCAAGGGTTCGGATTTGATTGATCCATAGCTTCCAATCAGGTCCGGATGATAAGATGACCTGAGTTGTAGATAATAGCTTGATTGATGATGACTCCATATCGACAGCTATTCGAATGAACGATTATCGATATACTGATGAATTGCGTGTTCCTAGCCAGGAAATGTTCGTTGGAAACGTTGGAAACGTATATATAGATGTACGTAGGAGGATAGTGATGTGGAACGGCGTGCGTTATTCCGGGCTCATAACTGGTAGCTGGCGTAGGAAGGGAGAATCAGTGAGGGAGACATGAGTTGTATTGAGGTTCTAGCGAGTGGCTATATAGTTGGAAGACGGTAGGAGTGGAACATGGTGAAACAAGGAGAAGTGACAGGAGCGTAGCAGCAGCGTAGCAGTAGCGTTCTAGTACAGTATCAAATACACTAGTTCTTACGCACTAGGGGGTGCATCTAGCTGCCAGTGATGTTACCTGAGATGGTAGAGGTGACGTACGAGACGGTCGGAAAGCTGCCAGACGGCCAGGTGGAGGTCGTGGCGATGGATGTAACGCGGAATCACACTCTCTCGAGGATTCGCTTGCTCTGCGAGGAGCCATGTCTGGCTAACTACGTTACGGACGTAAAGGCCGAGGTAGTCAGGATCAGGACAGAGCAGCGAAAGAAGAAGAATCAGCGGGCGAAGGAGTTGAGGCAGCTGGCGAAGGAGAGAAAGGTGACGGAGAAGCGGGAGAGGGAAGACGATGAGGCTGAGGAGAACGACCGTCAGCCACTGGCGAAGAAGGCGAGGACGGAGAGCTAAAGGCGAGATCGACGGGCAGAGGCGTCAGAAATTATGTTAAATCTGCATGATACCGATGTCTGGACCTGAGGGCGGTTATGACGGCGAAGGCTAGAGAGGTGATGCAATAGCGAGATGCTGCTTAGTTCTCATGTATCATGGACTGTGTGCTGCAACTCCTATCTTGCTTTATAAGTACAGTGTGTGGTCGTAAATATCCGCTTGTGGTGCCTTTAGGGATCGACAAAAAACCGGATCAGTGAATTGCATTTACAGTCTGTGCACACTTCTCTGTCGCTGCGTAGGGTGGCCTTGCGAGTTTACTGGTTGTCCAAAAGGTGCAACTTCCAGACGTGCACGTCGGACACATGCATGTTAGGCACGTGCACTGGGCACGTGCGCATTCTTACCTAGATCGCTCCTAGCTTTATAGAGCTTAGCTACTAACTATAAGGTAAACAAGCGTGGTTCACTCTCACCACGATACGACGTAGCGCGATCCTTGAAGATTCATCCATTTTCCATCCCTTATCAATCAGCGCAGAGCCTCAACCCTGCTTTCCCCACTTCAACTGCATTCACTCGCCATCACTGCGCCACAGCATCAAGAGGAACCGCTTCGGCGTTGGAATGTCAGCCCACCAATAAGGCCGGCTCGGATGGTAGATTTTGGGCCGATTAGGAGGCACGCGTCACTTAAGAGATAAGACGGAAAAAGGGCGACACACAGCTATTCTCAATTCATGAGGGCGGAGAACTTATGGCCCCTGGGATTGGTGGCGCCCTTTCACGTGACGCCGAATTTGCCATTTGCGATCTCCTGGAGATCGCAAAGTGCCTAAGCGGAGTCAGCACACAAATAAGGCGGACCACCAGCGTGTCTTCGCAGATCATCGCCCGTCCCACCAATGAGACTGCATACCGTCGGCTGAACTAGTTGCGGACCTGCCTTCACCTGCATTGATCGGCCTCTCATGCTGAGCTGCATAACGGCTCCTTCAGCACCACGATTCCTTATCAGTCCCACTCCATTGCACTAGGACTCTCTCCCACACCAACCTACCTCATGATACTGTGGGGGAAATAGCCCCTCAGTACAAACGCTGTAAGCCTTCTCCTCAGCGTGGTTACTAAACCGGCGGCCGGCTCAACTAGAGAGCAGATTGATTGGGTTGTTATATATGGAATGAAGCTTGATTGATTGGATTGATTAGAATTTTGGTTTGAACGGTTTGATCCAGATTGACAAATGAGTGAATACGGTCGCGCTAAGAGATCTGTGCGCTGAGGCCCTCGCTGTGTCTTAACGAGCCAATAGAATCACGGCGTTCTGCCGCCCCGAGGTTCCGCCGGCGGAGGCGGGAGAACACGTATTGCTAGCCTTATTAACCACGGCCCCAGCCCCTCCTCTAGCACTCCACCATGACGAGATAAGCTCAAATGGATAACGGGAATCGATTTCTACAGGTTGAATTATGTTTGAAGCGAATCATTGGGTCTTCTAGGCCTCAAAAATGCGCCCCCCTTTGGTACTCCGCCCGACGTTCCCAAGGGACATCCTGAGGCCCCCCTCACCTAGAACCTCACCACCATGGTACTCTCACGTTGCCCTCTACTCTGGGGCAATCCGTAGCCTCATGGGCGTAGAAAGCTTATATGACGATGTTATACCCATAAAAATCTATAAAAATCACGACCGTATGCATCCTTTCCGATTCATATATATCCTTTCTGATTTGTACACACCAATCGGATCAACCGGATCAATCTCCGCTTGAGGTTTGATTGGCTAGAGGCTTGATTGATTGGATTATCTAAAGTCTATACTAATAAACCGACCGTCAATCCGATTGAGGATTGGCCGGTTTACTAACCACGCTGCTTCTCCTCCTCCTCAACTAACCTTCCGCCTACCTACCTAACCAACTTCCTTCTCGATCCACCTAAATAACCTGAATCCCACCGCTTGCGTACCAAAAACCAGCACACCGAAAAAGAAGATCCTATTCGTCCATGTGCGCAACACTCTACACAAGTTTTGGCAGCGAGCTGAAACGTATGGAATTCTCTCTACGATACGGCTCGCTCCCTAGCCCGGTTTCCCTCCTTCTGCGGGCGAAGATGAGCGACCTACGCTGCCACTCTACAACCTGTGATACGGCATGAGATCGGGAGGGCGGACAGCAGCAGAGAAGTCGGAACGCTCGGTAGGCTTTAGTCGAGGTTTATTGACTATATACTTCTTAACATCACCTAGTATAAGCAAAAGGACCGGTCAAAAGCCCCGTAGAACCACTGGATATAATTGGTGTCTCAGATGCAAGTCATCGAAGATGCCCCATCCTGTACGATGGAGCGTATTCACGTTAGTCGAACTACCTTGCAGTTCTTTTGGGTCCACATTTACGTTGACTTACGTGCATTACCATACCTTGTTCAGAGAGTATTACGAATTCGCAAGCTCCACAATAATTCTGAGGCTATGTAAGATTACTGAAGGTATTGCCGCGGGCTAGTCGTGCAAGAGTAGGCTTTGGATCTAGCCCCACTCACCATGCGTAGCATCCCTAACACGCTCGGGTTTGGAATGGACGACAAACAATCATCACAGAAGCTTCTCTCCCCAGCCCAGTTCTCGTGACCTTAATTCCGGTCGTTCCTCACCGTCGCTGCTGTGAAATACTACCTAGACTGTTGGCTCGATATCCTAACGTGCTAATGACATCTATAAAAGGGATGAGACTAAGCCGGTACGTCTAATGCAGTCTTTGCTAGGGTGTGATAGAGGAAAGCTTAGATAAGACGTCGTTGATGCATTAGAAATGCGGAGGCCGATTCCGTTGCCGAATTATTGGCTAATGATCAAGAATAAGTAACGTGATCGTACATGAAATATGTATCGGACATTCTCGGACCTAGTCTTGATTGATCAATGATCCATGCTTACTTCGCTAAACAATGCTGTCTACAGAAGTCATTCAAGGGGATGGCACATTGGAGAATGGGCTTCTACCACACGGAATGCTCTCCGCCGTGACGAGCCAAACATTCTCAAACAGAGAGCATGCAAGCCCACGTACATACGACTTGTCGCCGGTGCACGACGCGCGTCGCTCTTTTAGGGAATGCATGAGGTAGTGTCAACCGATGGAATTGAATTCTAGCTCAGCAGATTAACACATGTCAGGCAAGCGTACGATAATTCATATATGACAGGACTACGTGCCAACCTCATCCGTGCCAACTTCATTCATAATTACGCGATCATTCGTACCCACCTGAACGAAATCATTCTCACCCGTGGCGACGAACGTTCAACCATTCTTATCATGTCGACCAATCGCCGGGGATCGACCAAGAAATGGTCTATGTACCCATCACTCCACAATGACGTGTCCGACCTCCTTCGCGAACACAACCTTTTCTTCCAGTTTTACGACGAGGACGACGACAACAGCAACAGTTGCACGAATGATTATGACACGACTATCATGGGTCTATTTATTTGTCGCAATCGCCAATGTCCAGTTCAGATCTGGCAAAGCGGGCAAATAGCCATCACCATACGAAGATATTCCGACATGCGATATAATGCAAGAGTATATCATCAATCCTGCAAGAGTTGCGGGACGCTGAGTAGGCCAAAATTGGGTCGTTCATATGCAGAAAGAGTCGCATATCGTATCAAAAAGTGGTGCGGAGTGCAAATGGACGCTCCCCCCTTCTCAGGTCGGAGCGATGGTCCACACAGGAGCGATCTATGTGAGGGGTGCAAGCAGGGTCATTGCAGCCAAACGGGACTATGGTTTTAGCAAACTAGCAACAATGTCGAGGAGGAACAAAGACGTGTGCGGTTGTGAAGGATTGGCGTTCGCCTTAGTGGCGCGGATGTATTAAGTTAGGCGACTTGCGATAATTTTGAGACAACGCTGTCTACTGAGATATCTCTGGTTGCGGAATACTTTTTCCTAGGGCCCGCAATCCCAGGTATAGAGGGCTATGGTATATTGCTTGAGCACGAATGATCCTAGACATTTGGAAAGATGCTGTAGTTGATAACGTTAATTTAGCTTTGCAAGCGTGAGTCACCTCAAGCACCTCGGTGTTACGCCTTACTTGTAAGCTCGGCGTGGTAGGCGCTGATAGGTTTCCACGAGCGGGGTAAGTCCTAGCTACTGTACGCAAGAGGCACAACTCGCTCGCTCGCTCAGGATATAGTGAAGCTGTGCCGCCATTTTGAACACTAGCTCCTTCGATCGTGGTCCTTTTCGCAATCTTCAGCCCAGTCTCTGCGTCTGGCTTGATAATGGCTAGAAAGAACAAGATGAAGGCTAAGGAGCCCAGAATGAAGGAACTAGTTGCCGAAGTAGGACTTCACTTTGCGGAGTCATCAACGGGGGCAACTTCCGGCTCTCAGTTGATAGCCCAGCGGCCTAAGACCTCGTACAGCACCCCTTTGCTTTCTTACTCCCAATTTCTGAATGAGAAGCTAACTGTAGGCTACAGTCCTTACGCCAGTTCTCTTGTCGCACTTCGTATTGGTCCAGAATTACGAGAGTATGTCATCCCAAAAGACCTCTTGCGAAGCCTTGGATTGCGTCTCTCGTACTCTCAGTACGCCTCCCGGTGGGGAGACCGGTGCTATGATTTATCTGCTCTGGATGAAGACACTGGCCATGTACTACTTCACTACCTATACACCGGTACTTACCAAACTCTCGACAACACGAATGCTTGTCTAGTTGACGAGGGAGTCATTGAATTCAAGAGGGCCGTTTTAACCTATTATACTGCGAAGACCTACGGGCTACCTGGCCTAAAGCAGCTGGCGAGGCACAAGATCAAGCGCGTTGGCATGGCAATGAACATCTTCGACATCATTGCAGCTATCGACGAAGACTATTCGAAACTCCAGGGTAATGCAAGTTGGTTCCATGACTACTTGAAAAAGAAAGCCAAAGCTGCTTTTGAGGAAGATTATACTACGTTTGCAGGGGATGCCTTCTTCGATCGCATTCGAAATGTTGATCTGAATAAGGTCATGGTTAAATGGGTCGTGGAGCTCTACAGCGATAAGATTTCACGCATGCTCAACGGCGATGGGGCAGAGCACATTCCGCCCATTTCTGGAGCCCTTGATGCTGAAGACACCGCCAATGAGCCAACCTACGAACCCACTGTTGAGGATGCCACCGCTGATGAGCCAACCTACGAGCCCGCTGTTGAGGATGCCGTCGCTGAAGAGCCCCCTTACGGCCGCGCTGTTGATCCCGTCCTCGAAGAGGCTAACTACGACTGTCTCGCTGTTGAGGCGCCGCATGCCGAAGAGCCTATCGCTATCGAAAAGCCTGTCGTCGCCGCCGAAGAGCCGGCCGCCATTGAAGAGCCTGCCACTGAAGAGTCTGAAATCGCAGAGCCCGCCTATGACGAGGCAGCTGTTGAGGAGGCTGTCATCGAAGAGTCTGTCCCCGCCGAAGAGTGTTCCGAAGAGCGGGCCGCCATTGAAGAGCCTGCCACTGAAGAGTCTGAAATCGCAGAGCCCTCCTATGACGAGGCAGCTGTTGAGGAGGCTGCCATCGAAGAGCCTGTCCCCGCCGATGAGTGTTCCGCCGCCGAAGAGTCTATTCCCATTGAAGAGTGTATCTCCGCTGAAGAGTACGTCGCCGCCGAAGAGTGTGTTGCCGCCGAAGAGTGTGTTGCCGTTGAACAGCCAGTGGAACCAACAGTCGTATCGGACGATGAACGGGCTGTACCTCTTTCAAAGAAAGGCAAGGAAGGCAAGGAAGGCAAGGAAGGCAAGAAAGGCAAGAAAGGCAACGAAGGCAAGAAAGATAAGAAAGGTAAGAAAGGCAAGAATGGCAAGGAAGGCAAGAAAGACAAGGAAGGCAAGAAAGGCAAGGAAGGCAAGAAAGGGAAGAAGGGTAGGAAGGCTTCACTCGAGCCTCCATCGCTTGAGCCACCCGTCGAGTGCGAATTAGTTTTTCCCGATTGTCCAGCACCAGCCGTCTCTGAATTCGATTATCTTGAGCGTTCACCGTGCGAGGTGGAAGCCATTTCCGAACAGTATTCCGTCCCTGCCTCCCCATATGTGCCAATCCCCGAATACGGCGGCACTCCGCAGGGTCTTGAAAAGTTTGAAGAAGCTGATGTGCTAGTCAGTGACAGTCAAGCAGCCCCTTTAGAACCAGAAACAATCATCAAAGCTGAAAGCGGCCTATGCCCTAGTCGCGCCAAGCATCTACTTGAAGGAGACATGTGGAAAGGTTGTAGACACTGCCGTACTTTTTTACAGCAGATTGCTATTCAGCTTGCCCCTTATGCGGGCCGCATCGACGAGGATGAATATGAGGTGGTGGACAGGGTAATGGGTTAGGGGCATAGAAAGAAAGAGAAAGATTAGATTGTTTTCGTGGGAGTTTCGATAGTATGTTTGCTGATTCAAACCTGCGCAATAAGACTTACGAGTGTTGGGAACGCGGGCGCAAATAACTCTAGCTTTTTATATTAAACTTTTCCTTCTTTACTTGTACACGCAGAGTGCTTTTATGAAATACGTATCCGCACCCACTGCCATGCCACCACGACTGTAATATCATTGTACCGGAACCCAGAGTCTCTGGATTACGTGCTCTCGAACTCCTCTAGCAACCATATAGTATTACAAGAGTCGCCGCGAAACCCGCATAACGGCCCATCTGACAGCGGATGAAAAAAGTGAGAACTCTGGTGTATTGCGATGTAGGAGGACGGATTTATATAAAAAGCCCCCAGGTACGCATTTCGGATTTCAGTTGGTGATTAGCTCTTTCCTCTCGATGACTAATTTCGTCTCGGAATACAGTTGCCGATTCTCCCTTAACCACCACTTTCCTCTTGGTTATCGGCCGTCCCGGCGGCCGCGCAGGCCGAACCAGACCAAGGACGTTGGCGTCAGGCAGCCCCCGGCGCCTAGGGAGCCAGAATAGGCCCTATAACGCTGGCGTATTGGAATCGCCAGCGGAAGGTGAGCGCAAGCGCCCTAGAGAGGTCCTACAACGCTACAGTCGCTTGTAAAATCGGCTTCCACCTAAATTTTCTATTATAACTTTTACCCTATATTAGAGAATAAAGGTTACTTATCCACCTTACCAAACATAGTACAGTGTTGAACAAGCATTCTAACGATACACTATTTTACAACACCGAAGTATCTGTCATAGATATAGCCTTGCTCATCTGTGTAATGCTTCGCCACGGGCTAACACGTGACGTGAGGTCAATGTGGAATAAGCAAGCGTTGGAACGGTAACTAGAGATTTGTCGTTACAAGGGGGCTACCTGAGCGGGCTGCCGGCGCTCCCTGCTAGCGCTGGCGTTGTTTTAGCCACAGTAAGCGTATTATAAATCTGCAGAAGCCACCAGAATAGCTAGATAATATAAAACAACGGCAGGGGCCCTTGTATTTTATATCATAAAAATGCCGAATCTTGTACGCCGGAACAATGGCCACCATCCACGGCCAATTCAATATCCTATTCTTCGAGATCCGGGCACCCGTCTCTCCTACCGAGAGCGTGATATTGCTTTCTCCCTCTCTCGATACGCTGGCTGGAATAACCGAAGGATCGGTTCCTCTCTTGGTGTGCCTTACAGAACTATATCCAATGCTCTCTCTCTCCAGAATCCG